CCAAGATCCTGGAGAGGGGTTGGACTTTGTCCTTTTCCGGAGTTGCCCAGGGTGAGAGGTGCCGGGCGGGAGTGGGGATACTCACGAGCCCCCGGCTGAGCGCCGCTGTGTTGGAGTTCTCCCCGGAGAGCGAGAGGGTCGCCTCCATGCGCCTACGGGTTGCGGGGAGCAAGGCTCTGACTGTGGTTTGTGCTTATGCACCAAACAGCAGTTCAGAGTATCCGGCCTTCTTGGAGTCGGTGGGAGGGGTCCTGGAAAGGGCGCCGCCTACCGACTCCACAGTTCTCCTGGGGGACTTCAACGCTCACGTGGGCGATGATGGAGAAACCTGGCGGGGGGTGATTGGGAGGAACGGCTTGCCCGATCTGAACCCGAATGGTGTTTCGTTATTGGACTTCTGTGCTTGCCACGGTTTGGCCATAACGAACACTATGTTCGAACATAAGGTGGCTCATAAGTGTACCTGGTACCAGAACACCTTAGGCCGGAGATCAATGATCGACTTTGTAATCGTATCATTTGATTTGCGGCCGTATGTCTTGGACACTCGGGTGAAGAGAGGAGCAGAGCTGTCAACTGATCACCACCTGGTGGTGAGTTGGATCAGATGGCAGGGGAACCGGTTGGAAAGACCCGGCAAACCCAAACGTGTAGTGAGGGTGAACTGGGAACGTCTGGCGGAGGACCCTGTCCGGGAGGTCTTTAACTCCCACCTCCGGAAGAACTTCTCACACATCCCAAGGGAGGTTGGGGACACGGAATCCGAGTGGACCATGTTCAAAGCCTCTATTGTTGACGCGGCCGCTAGGAGCTGTGGCCGGAAGGTCATCGGTGCCTGTCGTGGCGGCAACCCGAGAACCCGGTGGTGGACACCGGAGGTGAGGGAAGCCGTCAAGCTGAAGAAGGAGACCTTCAAGGCCTGGTTGGCCCAGGGGTCTCCTGAAGCAGCTGACAGGTACCGGCAGGCCAGAAGGGCTGCAGCTGCGGTGGTCGCGAATGCTAAAACTCGGGCATGGGAGGAGTTCGGGGAGGCCATGGGGAGGCCATGGAGAAGGACTTTCGTTTGGCCTCAAGGAGGTTCTGGCAAACCATCCGATGGCTCAGGAAGGGAAAGCAGGGCTTACCCCAGGCTGTTCTCAGCAGGGGGGGGGGGAACTGCTAACCCGGACGGAGGGCATCGTCGGGCGGTGGAAAGAGCACTTTGAGGAACTCCTAAACCCGACCAACATGTCCTCTGCAGAGGAGGCAGCGCCTGAGGACCTAGGGGGAGGCTCACCCATATCCCTGGCAGAGGTCGCTGAGGTAGTTAAAAAGCTCCTTGGTGGCAAGGCGCCCGGGGTGGATGAGATCCGCCCTGAGATGCTGAAGGCGCTGGACATAGTTGGGCTGTCCTGGCTGACACGCCTCTTCAATGTCGCATGGAGGTCGGGATCAGTGCCCATGGAATGGCAGACCGGGGTGGTGGTTCCCATCTTCAAAAAGGGGGACCGGAGAGTGTGCTCGAATTACCGGGGTATCACACTACTCAGCCTCCCAGGGAAGGCTTATGCCAGGGTGCTGGAAAGGAGGCTCCGACCGCTTGTCGAACCTCAGATTCAAGAGGAGCAGTGCGGATTCCGTCCCGGCCGTGGAACAGTGGACCAGCTCTTTATCCTCGCAAGACTACTGGAGGGGTTCTGGGAGTTTGCCCAACCAGTCTACATGTGCTTTGTGGACTTGGAGAAGGCTTTCGACCGGGTCCCTCGGGGGGTCTTGTGGGGGGTGCTGCGGGAGTATGGGGTGCCGGACCCGTTACAATGGGCGATCCGGTCTCTGTACGACTGCAGTAGGAGCTGTGTCCGCATTCTCGACAATAAGTCAGACACGTTCCCGGTGGGTGTTGGCCTCCGCCAGGGCTGCCCTTTGTCACCGGTCCTGTTCGTGATTTTCATGGACAGGATATCTAGGCGCAGCCTGGGGGCGGAGAACGTCAGTCTCGGGGGTCTCGGGATCGCTTCTCTGCTATTTGCAGATGATGTGGTCCTGTTAGCCTCCTCGGATCGTGACCTCCAGCATTCACTGGGGCGGTTTGCAGCCGAGTGTGAAGCGGCGGGGATGAGAGTTAGCACCTCCAAATCTGAGGCCATGGTTCTCTGCCGGAAACCGGTGGATTGCTCCCTCCAGGTGGGGACGGAGTGCCTACCTCAAGCGAAGGAGTTCAAGTATCTTGGGGTCTTGTTCACGAGTGAGGGTAAGATGGAGCGGGAGATCGACAGACGGATCGGTGCAGCTGCAGCAGTAAAGCAGGCGCTGCACCGGACCGTCTTGGTGAAGAGGGAGCTGAGCCGGAAGGCAAAGCTCTTAATTTACCACTCGGTCTACGTTTCTGCCGTCACCTATGGTCACGAACTCTGGGTCATGACCGAAAGGACAAGGTCGCGGCTACAAGCGGCCGAAATGAGTTTCCTCCGTAGGGTGGCCGGGCTCAGCCTTAGAGATAGGGTAAGGAGCTCGGTCATCAGGAGGGAGCTTGGAGTAGAGCCGCTACTCCTTCGTGTCGAAAGGAGTCAGCTGAGGTGGTTCGGGCATCTAATTAGGATGCCTCCTGGACGCCTCCCACTGGAGGTTTTCCAGGCACGTCCAACTGGGAAGAGACCCCGGGGAAGACCCAGAACACGCTGGAGAGATTACATTTCCCAGCTGGCCTGGGAACGCCTCGGGATCCCCCAGAATGAGCTGGAACATGTTGCCGGTGAGAGGGAGGTCTGGGTCGGCCTGCTTGAGCTGCTGCCACCGCGACCCGACCCCGGATAAGCGGTGGAAAATGGATGGATGGATGGATGCCAAATATATGAAAATATATATATAAGTTATGACATTGAAATATTTGTGATGACTCATCTTGAACTCAAAAGTGTGAAAATGTATCACATCACATGTGATTTGAGGCTATTAGCGAACTGAAACCAGTTAACTTGTGGGTTGAAACCAGGCGGTAACCTCGCGATCTCCAAAGTAAAGCCAAGGCAGAGGTGCCTCAAACTTGCATTCTCTCTAATGGCCATCAGGGGGCGACTCCTCTGGTTGTAAAAAGAAGTCTGATTGTATTGAAGTCTATGAGAAAATGACTCTACTTCTCACTTGATTTATTACATCAGTAAACACGTTTATGGTCTCAACTCTAGTTCAAAGTCTTCTTCAATACAGCATGATGTTCGTTTAGTAAATGATGATCCATTTAGAGTCAAATAGACCATAAAGCAGGGGACGCTTTAGGGCGGGGCTAACTTCTGGTTTACAGGTCGCTACCACGGCATTGTCCAATCTGGGTGCTGTTTTCTAACTTTAACCTTTTCACTGTGTGTTTTTTGTTCATACAAGTGTAACATTTTCGTCGCCTTAAAAATGTCTTAGCTCCACCCTCTCGTGTCACTTCTGGTTGCAAAAGCTGGTGACGGACATAATGCCAAACTCAAGGCTTCAAAATCGTACTCCACAAACCAATGGATGACGTCACGTCCACTTCTTATACGATCTATGGTTAAAAACTTATTTCAATGTTCATATTGGCACCTGACTACAGTGTGAAAACAGCTGTTTAGTAGAACTCCACTGACATTTCTTTGTGAAATCAGTGGAGTTCCTCTTTAAATCCATAGACTTTGTGCCCAAGAAACTGAAAGACCAAGTGATATTGTGTAAGAACATGAATGACACTCCACATCACAAAATGTGTCAAAGGGAAAACACACTTTCACAGAGCTTCCATCCCTCTGTCTCATCATCCATTCCTCCCTGTCTCTGAGCAGCTATGCATTACATTCCTCCCTGTCTCATATTTTCCTGGCCTTGCTCCTGTGCGCCACTTTGTAAAATCTTCTCCCAGATAAGTGACATATAAATAAGGCTTCTTATTCTTATCATCCACCCATCCAGCCATTGAAAAAGGAAATCCCTTGTCTACCAAGGCATGCTGTCAGATTAGAGGTCACGCTCAATTCCGTGTCCGAGAGGGTCTGGAGTGCTAACAGGGTCTCAAAGCAAACATGACAACCCTGTCTCGCTTTGTCAACCCGCCGAGGCCACCGCGACGCTTCGGGTAGCTTGGAGAGATGTATCTCTGCGTTCTGGGGGAGAGAGAGAGAGAGAGAGAGAGAGAGGCTGAGGGAGGGAGAGAAGGACGGGGAGAAAGACAGAGACTAAGACAAATTCCAATCAATCATTTTGATATGGCAATAAAATATTGAATGCTTAATCTTCAGAGAGAGAGAGAGAAAAAGGTGAAAGCCAAGGGGGAGAAGGCAACAAATAAAGGAAAGGAAGGAACAACAGATCAATTGAGAATGAAGAGGGGGAGAAAATGAAAATAATCAGATTAACGTGTCAGAAAAAGAGGTCGCAAATAAATTAACTTGTGACTTGAATGTGTCTGTTTTATTGGAAGAATAGTGGCCAGTTGATACATTTTTGCCTTTCCATTATTCTTCGCCTGTAATCTAAAATGTCACGCGGACACACGCACCTATGTGTCCCTCTACTGGCAACTGCTGGAACATGTCTTTCTTTCATGTCAAAGCGACCGCAGGCCGACTGCACCGACAAATCAAATTACCGCAGAATCAGTTCCTTCCTGCTTTTGCCACCGCAACCAAGGACACGTGTGACGTGACAAATGTGGAGAATGATTGCCTCGGCGGAGAATACCCAGCTGATGTTCTTAGTGATCCTGACATCTGCAGCAATGTTTTCAATTACCATAAACAATAGAGTGGCGGGAGATGGACGGATGGACGAGAGGGAAAATCAAAGTGACATGTGGAAAATTAAATCTAGTATATTGGTGTAGACTAGTAACCCATTAGTGAAAGATCCTGATATCTTGTGATTTCCAACTATTTCTGGGGCTGCCGAATACGCCTTCCAAAAAAAATAATGAAATATTGCAAGACCAGCGTAAACAATGCCCTACATAACACAACAAACCCACTGAATTGTACTTTTGTCTTCTTTCTGTATTGCAGTAAGAACCTTTCACCCAAGGATGGAGCAGCCACTCCAGGAACCCCGAAGGTGAGCCCAACCTCAATTTCTTCTTGTGTAATAGCATGTCTGTGTTTGGAAAATGACCTTTTCCTTCAGGCTGACATCAAGTATGTATCACATGCAAGAAGAGAAAGGAAGATTTTCAAAGATGAATACGTAATAAGATGTGTGCATTGTTAGATTTGACAACATCGTGACTCTTTTTCAATGGTAGGTTCTTTGCTGTCCGTGTATCAGAGCTGTTACTCCCACGCCTCTGATCCTCTCTGCTGCACTAAGGGGAAATCAGCTGTACTGTAGGGCCTCTGTCTCATATCTTTACACACAGAAGTACCAGTCTCCCGTGGTCCAACAGGCAGCGGAGCCAAGAGGCACTGTACTGTGATTGTTCCAATTAGAGAGGCCGACATGCAGGCAGACAAAAAAAAACAGAAAAGACAGATAGCGTCAAATTGTGGGAAGACAGATTCATGATTCCATCAAGTGGGCATTCCCTTATAGCGTCTGCATCCACTGACTCATCTGAACACATCACCAGCTGCCCGACTAAGACGGTTTTCAAAGAAAAGAAGACCTTTCTATGTCCTTCATATAATGTCTAGATAGTAGATTTAAAGCTGCAGCTGGTAACTTTATTAAAAATAAATTTTTGAGGACATATTTGCTCAAACATCCTGACAGTTGTGCAAGAGACAGTTCCTCCACCTACCCGTAGTGCTCCTAATGGCATTTGCAAGATTCCTCCCGAAAGGAAAAGAGCCAATCGGAGCCGTGGACTCTCTAAAGCAGCTCGTGAAGCACGTTCACTCTGATCAAACTGTCAAATTAGCCGTTGCTGATCAAATATGAGCCCAGACTCTGTTACTTTACTGCAAATTTCTCGCCTCAAAGGTTTTGAGAAACATATTCTATTGTACTGTTGAGCTGAAACATTTGAAAGTTTGCCCATCGGTCGGCAGTGCCTGGTTTGGACACGACTGTTTTCAACATTGTGGCCGGTTTCACAAATGTTCTCGTTGTGTGCATTAAATGTGCTTGTTGGTGCATGGCTTCTTCCTTTTCCTTTTCTTTCCTGCTCATAGAGGGCGTCGTATGTTTGGGCTCCATAAATAAAACTGACTTTACTTTATTCACAGCTGACCAATAAAGTTTTACTGATACAAAACCAGAGACAGTTCCTTAAATGTGGATATCGTTACTTTGTAGAGCTTTATTATACCGTTAACCACACCTGCCTCTGGATTATCACTTATACTTTTATTCTGGGAAGTACCACTTGAATCCTCGCCAAGCCAAGTCTGGGAAGTTTCAATCAAGCAACGTAATCCAACATGGATGAAAACATGCAATTGACCCTTTGCTAAGCCCCGCCCCCTGCTACTATCCACGCACCGTGTATCTACATCACCACGGATCCCACACGGTCACTAACTGCACTCCCAGAAGCAGCATGTGCATACATTCAGTATACCTTCAGTAACTAGCGTGGCATAGAAGTGCTAATGCTAGTCAGGGATGTGCTAACGTTCTCTGCTGATGTTAGCTCCACAAGTTTTTACGAAGAAACATAACATTTTACAAACGTATATCTCCTTCCAACCTCCGTAACGAGTATCCCCATTACACAACGTTTAACCATGACTAGCTCAGAATCCTCAAAAACAGCCTGAAGACAATCTGAAACGATTGCATGAGGGTCTACGAAGCAAAGACGGATATTTGTCAGACTCTGCTCGTAGCCAGCTAATGCTCCACTCTGATTGGCCAGCCTGCGTTTGGCGACAGGAGTTAGTGGAGGGTCACTTAAATAGTATATATATAGTTCTACTCTGCTCTTCATTACTCGTAAGACGTGTTTCCTGAAAGCACCCCTAAAGCAATCGGGTGGAAGTCAGATGCCCCATTGCAGAATAGGTATATCCGACGTGCACATGAATGCAACATAAGAGCTCTAAAGCAATTCAGGCTATCCACTTTCATTCCCGCACACCTTTGGGTGCTGACCCCGGCTTAGGGAGGGGCACTCACAGCGCTGTGGGTGGGCTCGTACTCGAGAATGGCAGGCGGAGCAGGGGTTGAGCGCCGCATGGCCTTCCCTTCTCCGTCCGTGACTGCGCATCTCACCGCTGTTGTTTAGTATTCAGCGGCAGGCCGTGGAGAATGGAGAGGGGGCCAGTCTGAAGCACAGGGGCCTGTTGTCGCCGTCTCCTCCGCGGTATGCACAGCCCACCCCTGTTGGACAGGAGATTAACCCCAACGCACCTCCTTACGGGGTGTTCGGAATACTCTGTGAACTCCTTGCTGAGCTAAAGGGAATTGGGTTTGACTGAAAACACGTGACTGTCTGTTTGGCCACGCACATGTTGGATACTCACATGCATGTGGACAGATTTGGACACACACTTTTCTCTTTGCCCCTCTTTGTGTTTTAATAAACATGTTAGAATTTTTTAAAAGCAAATTCACAAAAAACACACTTTATTACAGTCTATACTGTCAAACGTGAACTTCAAATTTCTGCGCCGTGAGGTCACTCACCTGAATGGAGTTTTAAACGCAGCTGATCTTTTTGCATGTTGATTTAATTGGTTGGCTTAAAAGACCAAAACATTTCAATGGAAGATCTCCATTTATAATCTCTTCGTTGAATACCGTTAAATGTCATATTCTAATGATAAAACTTGAGCATATTCCCAGAATGCACGCCCCCCCCCCCCTCCCCAGGTAAATGATTCCTGACCTTTTTAAACCTGCGTAAAAGAGACACACACACACACTCACACACAGAGGCATAAAAGCATCATGCATAATATCCAATTTACTGTGGCAGCACTGGAGGTTGGTCATTTCTCACATATTATTATTAGATTACTGCTGTCGAGCACTTAAGCCTCTGCTCTGCCCCTTTCCGCTTGATTAATAGGAGACGACTGTAAATACAAATATTTCATAGCTGCCTTGTAAAAAAAATAAATAAAGCAGCAGCACAGTCACACATGGGAATACAAGCAAACACACACACACACACACAGAGCAAGAGCTCTGACTAAGCCTGTAAAAAAAAAATAAAAGTGATATTGCTCCTTGTTCTCTGTCTTCACCATCATTATCTACTTTGTTCACTTGAAGAATTCCCTGGATTGTCTTTGTCACTGAGTGGGTTAGAAGAGGATATTGTTTTATCCGTGTGTGTGTGTGTGTGTGTGTGTGTGTGTGTGTGTGTGTGTGTGTGTGTGTGTCTGTGAGAGAGAAATAGAGTGTGTTTGTGTGTGTGCGCAAAGCATTGTGAGACCGATTTATGGACGGGCACCGTCCCGTAATGTCAGACACTTAGGCTCCTCCTTTTCAGATGTTTACCCTTCCTCCTCCTCTTCGCCCCTTTCTTTTCAATCACTCGTTCTTCCCTAACTCCTCTTATCGTCCCATAAACATTAACTCTAATCAGCGGAAGGGACTTTATAGACAAAGTCAGGCAGGTTACAGTCATCATCATTGACGTGGTGCTCCCAGCATCTGTGGCAATAACGCTATTGAAATTCTCCAAGGGTAAAGATTCCCCATCCCCCTTTCTTTTCTTCTCTGTGTAAAATCTGTCGTAATACAGAAATAAACTTTACATGTTAGACGAGAAATTGATTATTGTCATTTTTATATGTATTCATTTGATACAAACAACAAGGTCAAATATTCTTCGGTAGTTATACTTTTTTGCTTTGACTTTAGTGCTTCCACGTCAAGTGACGTTTCAGCTGCTTTCATCTCTTACTCTTCAACTGCTTTCATCAAATGACATTCCAACTGCTGCTCTTCAGCTGACATTTTTGCTTACATCGCCTTTCACCTATAATACACTTGAAGTGGTGCTAATTTCTTTTATGATTTTGCACAGCGCCAGCACTTCAACTGACATTTCAACTCCTTTCAGTGCTTGGTCTTCGGCGGAATCCTAAACTCCTTTCAGCACTTAAATTTCAACTGACACCCCAGTCAGAACTTAGATTTAAATGAACACTTTCTTCAGAACAATGTATGATTTTCTAGTTGTTGCATTGGGTTTGCATGGACCTTAATGGTCGTGTTAAATCATTCGTGTGATCTTAGTGTCGAGCCAAGGTGTGGGTGGCAACGTGTGTTATCTCTCCAACTGTGAAATGCTATCTGTTTTCCTTAGATCTGAATTTATTTTACTCTTGCCCTGTTCATGTTTATTGATTATTCCCATGCTGCAACTGTCAAGCGAGAACAGGTTATGCTGATAACATAACAAGATCATCTGCATATAGAAGACATTTTATTTCTCTCTCTCTCTCTCTCTCTCTCTCTCTCTCTCTCTCTCTAGTCAATGCTGTTGTCGGTGCACATCAAGCGTGAGGGAGAGTCTCCCGTGGTCTCGCCGATGTCCTCCGAAGACGCCCACCACTCCGACAGATACCAGGTCACATACTCTGACACACACACTCACACAAACATACACACACACACACACACACACACACACACACACACAGAGAGAGAGAGGGTCAGTCTAGATTGACACCATTCTGTCCTGTTTGTCCCATATTATTTTCTAAAGATATGTGAAATTCCCCAATGCTGACAAATGCATAACAGTGCTGCAGCAGAGGATTATTGTAGATTTTGGGGTTTTTTATGCCCTCTCAGCAGTTCCGTTGACCAGCAGGCCAATCTCCTTAAATCTCAGATGTCTCGAAAACTCCCCCCACCCGACTGCTTTTATCTCTTAAATTCATCAAAGTTTGTTCGTGTAATTATTTTGGCCATGATGTATCTCCAGGTTAAGTGGGTTTCCCCCCCCTTACACCATAAAATAGGAACTATTAAGTCCACACAGACGTTACATCCATACGTTCAGGATGACATAGCTCATAAAGGCCTTATAGCTATAAAGTAGATTTTCTCATTAAGTGAAACTGCTGAAATCACCTTATATTATACAAATGATAAAGTCAATGGTGACTCTTTTTACCACCCCGATGGCAGACTCCGCCACCTCCTCCATGTCAGTCCGCCCTCCTTTCCTCTCTACCTCCTCCCTTCCTCTAAAAAGGTTACCTATCCATTCAGTGAGTGTATCATAATGATACGGTAGTAGTGGCCACGCCAGGGAAGTGGGCCGATAACTCAAGTGGCGGAAGTGAGGGGAGGGGAGAGAGGGAAGGAGTGAGGAGACGGACGGGGGGCTAGAACAGAAGGAGAAGGCCTGACTGCTCGTCGGCACTCGCTGATGGACGACGGGCCGACAGTAAGAGGGGCCGCCGCCCACTCACTGTTGCCGTGTCAACGAGAGGGCATCCATAACTGCGACTGGGGATGCTTTAGTCAGCACATAGCTAAAGACGTAGCGGCCTCGGGGTTTGAATCCCAGTAGACCTGAGGTGCACATTCTGCAAGACACAGAAGTGGAGATCTGACCTCACTTAATTTATTTCTCAGCGCTATACTTTTAATGATGAGAGCATTATTCTAAATGATACGGGGGATTCACCCCGGGCCTCCTGAACTACCCAAGACCCCAAATGTTCCTCGTTCATTAGATAAATGTAGAATTTAATTGTTGCCAGTGGTGGAAAGTAACTGACTACATTTAATCAAGTGCTGTACTAGAGTACAATTTTTAAGGTACTTTTACACACTACTTTATACTTTTTATACTTTTCAGTACATTTTGGTAATAATATCTAGTTTTTACTCATGTAGGATATTGAATGCAGGGCTTTTCCTTGTGATGGAGTATTCTTTCCACTGCTGTTTCACTGCTTTTATTAAATAATTGAGTACTTCTTCCAGCACTGACAGTTGCATATTAAGAACACAGATTTGATATTGATGAATACACAGAAAATTCTAAACAGCCAAAGATACCACCAGAAACCAATAACTTACACGCAAAAACATAGTTTTTGCGTGCACTGGTCAATTTCTAGATTTGGAACTATTTGGCTTCCGTAACATGTCGTCTTTCTGACTAGTAGAGAAAAATCATCCAAAATGCACATTTATATTTTATTCCAGTACACTTTGAGTATTTGCGTCTGTAGATCTTTCCTAAATTCACCGAAAGTTAGCATTAAATAATGCTGTATTTGCATTTCAGAAAGCTTGTAATACAACAAAATAACTGTCTTAATGTAAGTAATCGACTGGGGAAGTTTCATGGTGATGCATATTAGTAATTTTTGTTCCCCTATTAACTTGTAGTGTCTTGAAATAAAATTGATGTAATTTTACAATGCATAGATTTAAAGGTTGTTTTCGCAAAATTCATTTTTTCTCTTACTCTGAGAATCTCTACTTCAGTGGCACTTACAAAATCCAAACATTAACATAGATTCCTTTTTATATTCTCAAGGTTTTTACTGAGGGGTTTGTTCATATGGCTTTCATAGCCTGATTTATAGAACATTTCATCCCTAAAAACATGGCTAAAACAGATTTTATTATGGCTGTAGACTGTATTTTCTGATTGTCTTGTCATTGATCTGGGATTAAAAGAGATATCCAAAAATCCCTCTGTAAAATCCTTTTGACTCTAATATGTTAACAAAATGAAACAAGAATTTTGAACATGCATGGCTTTGTCGAATGTTGAGATTTATGTCCTGTAAATGTATACCATAAGCACATGTTTAATACGATAATGTCTCATTTGCATATTCAAACATACATTTTCACAAAACTTGTAATATTTAATCTAAGTAATCGACTGGCGAAGTTTCTTGGTGATATCTATTTATCCCATCCCTGTAGTGTCTCCCCTTAAGAGTGAAAGAATGTTCCCTAACGCCAAATCATCAAGCTTAGTAACATCTCTGACGTGGTTTTATTCTTTATATTATATTAACATTAGCAGTTAGTGGAGCAGTACAATAGCTGTGCGTCTTGTATGGTCCTGTGTGTAAAGCTCCAAACCCCATTAATCACATGCAGACCGTTTAATGAAACCCGTTGCTTCCCCCTAGCGGTCGACATCCGCAACGACACGTGACGTCTCCCCCACTTCCGTCTCCAGCGCGTCACGTGATCAAAACAAGCCAACATGGCGTCGGACACGAGCAGTATCTGCCGATACGAGCGCCACTTTCAATCCTTTCCCATCCGTATTAAAAAATAGATACAGGCTCTGGTTCGCCGTGATGTACAGTGTCTGGAAACGCAGTCGGGTAGTTTTCAGCAGTGAGTTTGTGGCGAGTGTAGAATGAGCCATGAGTGAACCCCGCCAGTCATGGAGGATGAGGAAAACAATAGAGAAGTAGGTTTGTTTACACTGCCAGCATCCACAGCAATCCCATTCCGAAAAGTTATTCTCGTGCTCGTGAACGTGTTGTGTTGTTTGTTTATTATCTAATGTGTATTTCCTCCCTCTTCTTTCCCCCTCTTCCCTTCTGCTTGCAGACATTTTTACGAGTTCGAGCAAACAGGCAAACGAGATTGAATGGTATGTATATGCAGCGGTTCATCTCCCGAGTGCTTATTAATACACATTATATGTCGTTGTTAAAAGTTTATTACTGTACTCAGGATGGTTTTTGCTCTTGAAAGTTTGATTTTTTTTAAAGTACAGATTTACTTGAATGTCAGAAAGACTGATTGGCTGTGGTAGGATAGATTGGAAAATACATTTAAATCGATATATGGTGATAATTAAGCATATATACTGACCAGTAAAGTTCCATAAGTTCAATTTAAAATGAATGATGAAAATAAAATAAATCTTCACCACAAATGAAGATATAATATCACTGGTGTCAAGGCACAGGGGACAAAGTAGCTGCCATGAAATGTGACGATATGATCACGTGACGTTGATTTAATGCAACATATTCTACTACTGTATATGAGCTCGGGTGTCAGGTGGCGTTCATCCATCCTCCCTCATTACTGATGTCATGTGACAGTCGCCCTGTGGCCCCTACACAGGGTTTAGTGTTGTGTTTTAGCTCTGAATAGCCCCAATGTGGAGCTTAAGCATCAGTGTTTATGAAAAAATAGTCTAGTCCCCCCGACAATCTTTTAAAAATCCATCGTGTTATTCAACAACACTTTCATAAAAATGTCTGCATCTGTTGCACAAATTAAAAAGAAGTCAAACTTTGAATTCAATGAGTATGGACATCGTTTTTGTTTATTTTTTATTGTGCAGGGAACAGAATCATTTGTCATCCAGATGGTTGAACAGCCTCATGCAGGTTTTTTTCTGTTTTTATTTTCTTACTTTGGATTCCTAGCTCTGTGACTTGAATATTATAAAATATAACTAGGAACAAACTGGGACTAAGCTTTGAGATAAGGACTCTTCTGATCAACCAGCACTGGCTGATCCGGCCAGTGCTTTACGTTACGACACTGACGTGCTGCTGAAAAGTAAAATGATTCCATTCTGGCTTGCTGTCGCGGCTTATTGGGACGCTTGGAATAGAATGCAGCCACCGTTCATGTTGCTACCTGATGAATAAATGTTTTGCGTTTTCATGAGCCTCGTTCCATTCTGGATTTCTAACATGGCGTTCAGGTTGGACATAGAAACTCTGCCACAGTTAGATCCTACATTATATTTAACACGTGTTAGTTGACAGTGTTCCTTTAGCCATTCTGCAAAATACCTCTGTCATCTTTGCAAAATACCTCTGTCATCTTTTTCTTTATTTTTTTTATCAAGGAACACTGAAGCAGTGTAAACCAAGAAGTTCTGATTAATATCTCACCATATTGGTTGTTCTATTGCAAGAAGTTTAGTGTTTCTAGTCTTGAGGCGCCACACGGACAACTCCGCCTTTTTCAGTCAGAGCCTGTGACGAGAGACTTGGTTTAAACTTCGCCCTCCATTACTTTCTCTCTGCCCTGATGTGGAACCAGGAATCACTCTCATGTGGGGCGGAATGGCTGATGGGGGGCTGAGATCCCTGCCGAACCTAATTAGCGGCCCTTTCCCATCTCTATTTAACAACGCTCCCCTCGATTAGCGTCAGGAGAGAATTGGCTAAGAGGAGGAGGAGGCCGTTTCTATCCTTAACCCTCCCATCCTCACTCCCTCCATCAGCTCCCCCTCCCCCCTTCAGTTATGGCGTCTTGCCTTGTGTCCTCTCCCACCATCCCCTCGCCGTGGCCCCATCTTTGCCTCCCCCTTGCTTTCCCGGCCAGCTAAAAATTAATGTCCCCGCGCGCCATTCGCAGTTAAGAAAAAACGACAGAGACTCGGGGCGCAGTGACGGCTGTTCTGCTCTGTTCAATTTCTAATTAAGTGCGTGTGTGGTGGTGGGGGGGGGGGGGGGGGGACCGAGAGAGCGGGATGGCGTGGATGTCGAGTGTAGGAGGGGGATTGAGACCGCCACGTCCGGCTCGTCGTTTCTTTCTTAACACATTTCAGGACCAAGTTTAGCCGGCTCAGCTCTTGATTCTAGACTTCTAGGAAGATTTGTGTAACATAAATTCCTCCCAGGTCTTTCTTAAGATTCCCTCCTGTGCCTTGAAACCAGTGATATATATACTGTACATAACCATCCAAGGAATCATGCTGGAACACCTGAATGGCGATTGAAACTAAACATGTGTCCGTCTGTCTGTCTTGCCTGCCCCTCTCCAGCCCGTATAGGAAAGATGAAGAGGAGGAAGCCTGAGGATGGGGGCCAGGTATGTCCGCTGTGCAGCGCCCCATTGGCTGGGAGCGAGGAGGAGATGAGTAGACATGTGGAACAATGCCTGATCCAGGTAGTACAACCCTGGGCCTCCTTAACCCCCGGTCGGACAGCCTGTCAACCCTTCTCTTCCTGTAGATGCTGACCAGTCACCTCTTTACTTCACTTCCACTACATTAGATTGGATACCAGCCTATAGCGACTGCAGCTCCTCTAGATGTTGCCCACCTCTTGACGCGGCGGTACTGCAGACACGTCATATGGGAACAACTGTCAGAGAGACCATTAAGAAAACGCACCGCAAAGCTGCCGTGAGCGTTGCCTGGAAGTAGAAGGCTGCAGTTTATCCCATATGACGGGGTCGCCTCTTATACATCGGCATGGAGCTCATGTTTCGAGCATAACAGTTCCATCTTTAGCTCCCATGAGACGAGGGCAGGTTTCTTCCCGTCACCTCCTCACTGTGTTTCATAGTTGTCAGACCAGGTCTTCTTCTCTGTAGACGCTCCATCCTAGAGTAGACCGAAGGCAATGAATCACCACTAACCGCCACCACTCTTCCTGTATCTCACCTCACTCACTGCTGTCCGTCACACTGTAGCTGTAGAGACACTAACACCTCTTCTCCAGCAGCACGCTTGAGGCGTTCCAGAGCCGTACCGTGCCACACCAGCTGTGTTTTCATTGCATATTCGTAGCCAACCTTGCACCCAGATGTTTCCGTCCTGCTTGCAACCGGGGCCTGAAGCGCCGTTCTTCTTGTTCTGATCAGCGACGAAGTGGACAGAAGAGAAGATTCTCTGTTTTGCTGTTTATCTAAACTAGAGTAACTTCTTTCTGTAACTTTTTGAAGGAAAATAAATTGAAAGTATTTCTGGTCTTTGGCAAAATAACTGATAACCTCCCAATGCACATGTATAGAGGGCTTTCTTCTAAAAGTCTGTAGTTTAGTGCAGTGTGCACACCTCACACTCTGAACGTGTGATCTAGACAAGCAGGCTGTTTCATGTTTGTGTCCTTCTGACATTTGTCAACAATACTGGGTCCTCATCACAGCTGGTCATGGTTCGGTACGGGGAAAGCGTGCTATGGAGATCAGGCCTATCTTCCACCACACCACTATTCTGAAACAGTGAAGTCATGTTTGTGAAGTTTTTGCTGTGATTAACATGTCCTGTGTGTGTGTGTGTGTATGTGTGTGTGTGTGTGTGTGTGTGTGTGTGTGTGTGTGTGTGTGTGT